GTGTGTGCACAAGTGCATGCATAAGTGGGAGTGAGCTGAACTAGGGATATGTCCCGCCTCAGTGTTCACCGGGTGTCAAATCTGATGCTGTGGAGGACAGAGCATCTCTCCTGGGGCACATTTTGGCTCTCCTCCATCTTCTGGTCAACCCTGGGGTGCCTCATCCACTGTTCATCTGTGAGCTCAGCACATAGTTGGTGAATGAATGAATGAGCATGTGAGTGACACTCTCCCTTCTCCTCCCCATCTGGTTCCCTCCTCCTGGCTTGTCTCCTTTTCCCAGAGGCCTGTTCCAAGCCAAGCTCCACTTGCCCTCCTTGGCAAGATCCGGCTGGAGAGGGGTAAAGGCTGAGCTGCCTTCCACAAAACAGAGTTATAATACAATTCCTGGCTGGCTCCAAGGGCCCAGAGTCAGGAAGAAGATCTGCTTTGCTGTGGGCTGAGGGCCAAGCCTGGTCAGCCCTGGGACTGTCGGGGTGGGAACATGGCTGGGGGAGGAGTAGGGGTGCTATGGATTGAGCTTTGTCCCCCAGATTCACATGTTGAAGCCCTAACCCACAGTGTGACTGTATTTGGAGATAGGACTTTAAGAGGTAATTAAGGTTAACCTGGGTCCTAATATGGGTTCCTAATCTGATAGGATTGGTGACTTTATAAGAAGAAGGGAGAGATCTCTCTCCAGGACACACACTGAGGAAATGCTGTGTGAACAGTGAGAAGGTGGCCTTCTACAAGCCAAGAAGAGAGCTCTCACCAGAACCCAGAAAACAAATATCTGTTGTTTAAGCCACCCAGTCAATGGCATTTTGTTATGATAGCCTGAGTAGACTAATACCAGGGGAAATGGGTAGAGTAATCTTGGTTACAGGTCCTTGCTGTTCATCACTTTGAATATTTCTTGTCACTCCCTTCTGGCCTGCATAATTTCTGCTGAGAAATAAAACCATATATTGAGGTTTTGCAGCTGACAGTTGTATGGGCATTCCCTTGTAGGTAACTAACTGCATTTCTCTTACTCCTTTTAAGATTTTCTTTTCGTCTTTAACCCTTGGCATTTTAATTATGATGGGTCTTGGTGTGGTCCTTTTTGGGTTCCTCTTGTTTGGGACTCTCTGTGCTTCTTGGACTTGTAAGTCTCTTTCTTTCACCAGGTAGGGGAAGTTTTCTGTCATTATTTCTTCAAATAGGTTTTCAATATCTTGCTCTGGCTCTTCTTCTGGCACCCCCATAATGCAGATGTTGGCACGCTTGAAGTTGTCCCAGAGGTTCCTTCCACTATTCTTCATATTTTTGGATTATCTTTTCTTTTTGCTCTTCTGGTTGTGTGTTTTTTTGCTTACTCATATTTCAAATCATTGCTTTGATTCTCTACTGTTGAATCCCTGTATATTCTTTATTTTAGTCAGTGTATGCTTACTTTCTAACTGGTCCTTTTCTTTTTTTTTTTTTCTGGAGGTTTCTAGAAGATTCTTGAGTAACCTTATAACTGTTGTTTTGAACTCTATATCCAGTAGTTTGCTTTCTCCCATTTCTTTCATTTGTGACATGTTTCTTTGTCTCCGCATTTTGACTGCTTCCTTGTGTTTGTTTCTATGTATTGGGTAGAACTGCTATGTCTCCTTGAGTTGGTAGAGTGGCCTTGTGTAGTAGGTGTTCTATAGGGCCCCATGGCTCAGTCTCCCTAGTCACTTTATCTGGGAGCTCTAGGTCCACCCATTTGTGGACTGTGAGCACAGTCTTGTTGTAGTTGAGACTTGATTGCTGTTGGTGTCACTGGGAGAAACTGACCCCCAAGCCAATTGGCTGTGAGGACCAGCTGTGGCTACAATGGGAGAGCTGCTGCACAGGAGACACTGTGCTCACTGAGTCTGCCCCTTGACTGTGTCACTTATGGATGTGTAGAGTTGTAATCTGGTATGGTTTGACACTGACCACTGGGTACACTGGCTCTTGGGTCTCCAGGGAGGTGCAATGTCAGCCACTGCCTGGGGCTACCTAGTGGGAGCTACAGAGAGATCTGAAGATTCCTCCTCTTTGTATTGGGTTCGGAAGTGCCCAGATGAGGCCCACCTATGAATCAAGGCAGGCTGGTGCTGGTGCCAGGTCTTGGGTCTTTTATTGATAGGTTTGAGATTCCCTGACCCAGCTGCAGCTTGTCTGAGAGATTTTACCCTGAGCAAGAAAAGGCCATTCATATGCAAAAGTTGCTGCATGCAACTTGGGTGGGGGTTGTAAATTGGATGAGGTGAGGTCTTAGGGAATCACCAGGGTGGAGCAAACAGAAATGGTTGCTAGTCAGCCCTGCAACCAGGGAGATCCCAGGATAGGAACAATGATCCCTGCTAGCACCTCTGTTTGGGAGAAAGCTGCCCTGGAATTCCTGCCCTGATGCCAGACAATCCAGTTCCTCCTCATATGTGTCTGTGTTCCCTAGAGCCTCGCCCTGGTGCTGGAGCTCAGAGGAAGCAGGACCTTGTAAATTCAGTTCGTGGTGCCGGCCTTTTAAGAGAAATAGCTGGGTCCCCAGCAGCCTCTGTGTCACTGAGCCCCAATCTGCACTGGTTTTTACAGCTCATAGTTCTTACTGCCCATAGGGACTTCTTTTCTTAGCTCTGGGACTCTGGACTGGGAGTCTGGTGTGGGGCTGGGACCCCTTGCTCCCCTGGGCGGCCTCCGCAGGGAGAGCCCGTTCAGTGTCTCTGAGTCTCCTACCAGTCTCAGTGTGCTTTCTTCTTTACTTCTCTATTTGTAGGATTTCCATTCAGCCAGCTTACCAGTGGTTCTAGATCAGTGGTCGGCAAACTGCGCTTGCGAGCCACATGTGGCTCTTTGGCCCCTTGAGTGTGGCTCTTCCACAAAATACCGACTTCTGCGCATGGGCCACAAAGTTTTAATCACACTGTACATGCACGCCCGCATGTGGTATTTTGTGGAAGAGCCACACTCAAGGGGCCAAAGAGCTGCATGTGGCTCGCAAGCGCAGTTTTTCTAGATGAGGATTGTTCTGTATTTTAGTTGTAATTTTGATGTGGTTGTGGGAGGTGGTGAGTACAGGCATTTACCTACGCCGCCATCTTCCAATCAGTACCCGGGGCTCTTGATGAGGCAGCTCCTGCCTCTTTCTTCTGATTCCTTTCTCACCGTCTCCTTTGGGTACCATGTACTTTAGCTCCACTAAACGTGATACCCTTTCATACCCGAGTGTTTCACACACAAGTTCATCTACCTATTTGTCTGAGAATGCTGAGACAGTAAAGTGGGCACAGATTTGGAATCCTCTTTCTCTACCATTTCCTAGCTAGGTGAATGTGGGCAAGCTAACCCTAGTAATCTGTTTTCTAATCTGTAAAATGGAATTAAACATACATGATGTGTCTCACATTGTACTTAATACACAGGACTCCCCCCCACCCCCCAATAAAAGTTGATTTCTCCCCTTCTTTGCATGCTAAACTCCTCTTCATCCTTAAAGACCCAGCTGGAATGTTGTCTACTTGGTAACATTGCCCTCATTCTTTCCAAATGGGTAAAGTCTATCTTCCCTGTTTCTACCCTTTCTGCCCCAGGACACAGGGGAAATCCCAACTCTATCTTCTTGGCATAGTGACAGGAAAGGGGTCATGAACAGATGTGTTGGACATGTGCGGGACACGACATGGTTTGAGTGATGGTTTCTGAAGTGGATGCCAGTGGAGACTGTACCTCTGTGGTCAGGGGTGTGGGAGGGAGTGTGGCACAGGTGGTCTTCTCTAAAACACAGCTACCACCTGCCAACTCAGGCTCCCTTCTCTGTTCAGGTCTCCATCTCTGGGGGAACAGTCTGAATGCCTCAGAACCAACTGTTATGCAAAAACAGACACTTTATTTTCAGTGCTGGGAGCTAACAGGCACCCATGGGTATATGGAGGGCTCTCTTCCAGCCCGCAGGTTTTGACCTTGAGAACTTGAGCACTGTGACCTTGAGAACCTTGTCTAGCAGCCTGCAGTCTCCAGGGGTGGGGCAGTGCCCGACCACAGGCTGGGTGGGCTGGTCTCAGCCGGTTCCGCCAGCCCAGGGCCACTTCAGTCCAGTTTGGTTTCTTGGGTTGAAATCATAATCCCTCAGGCCCAACTTTGGCCAAAGATAATGATGCACTGGCAAGGTCCACAGCTGGGAGGGGGCGGGGGGGGCAGGTACTTGTTCCTCATGGAGCAAAAGCAGGCTTCTCTGAGCCTCCCTTTCCAGCCTCATGGTGTGGTTCCCTTAGAACCCCAGGCCTGCTAGAAAAACCATCCCAGCTTCTGGAGAATTCGGTGGGAGGGGGGTTGGGATTGGGGTGGGAAAGACCGCCCAGTTTCTCCAAGGTTCTTGGAGTGGCTGCCTGTTTGCATTCCTGACTCTCTACTGCCTCTTTGTGGCTGTAGGCCTAGTTGATGCTACACCACTATAGAGGGCGCTCGCGCGAGTGTGTGTGTGTGTGTGTGTGTGTGTGTGGGGCAGGGGACTCGGAGAGAGTGGAGCTGAGGCAGAACTAGAGAGAGCTGACCCTTGTGTCTGCCCTGGAGAGCAGGGATCTCGCTGTGTCCACGACAGGTGTGGGTTACACAAGCAACACTAGGGCAGCTGTGACACCAGTGAGAGGACACTTGTTTACCAGAATGCAATAGAGGGGATTAGACATCAAGGACAGGAGGAGGGCTGTGTCAGCTCTGCCCACGGGGGCAAGTTCTTGCTAAGCTGCTCTAACAGCCATGGCCACTTGGCCTAGAGGACCCTGGGAACAGCTGCCCAACAAGCCTTTAGGGAAATGGGGAAAGGAACAGCTATGGAGGGAAA